AGAAGTATCTATTAGGAATTGCAACGAAAGGAGGTACATAAAGTTGTTTTGCTGGTTAAATTTGTGTTCTGAATGGAGATGCATATCGTGATTTCAAGATTGATCATTTTTTTTTATAACATACATGTACCGTGCTGAATTTTCAGTGGTCAAGTTGTTTAATGCTGTAAGTTCTTATGTCTAGTTTGGATTACACACTTGTATCTTGTCTGACTCCTTTACCTTTTTCACGCTATCATATTTTTCTACGTTTGAACTCATTATTGCTCATCTGTGCAGGTGAACAAGGCCCAGAATGCTCAGAAAGGATTAAATCCTTCAAGGTCAAAAGATGAAAAAGGTACCAATCGATAAATTAGTCTCATTTTGAAACTAAATCAGTATTTTTAAATCTTATGATTCTCCTCTCGGTTACGGATCCAGTTTAAGGATTGTTCTTTCAAAGCTATTAAGTAACTTTTGAGGAGAAATAGTATTGGGTCCCACTACATGTGTTAATTAATGGGTGGTAGTTGTGAATGTGTTGCTTAAATTAATGTTTGAATTTGACTTAATAGAAAAAGTAATTTATTATTAGCTTTTAATGTTTGGCAAAAAGGGTTTAGTGATATTTAGTTTCAGAATTTCTTTTCATGCCTTTTTGTTAGCATATAATTGATTAATCATGTCATCAATTATTGTTTAACCTTTTGAGCATGCTCATTATAGTCTTCCAAGTTCAACCCTTTAAATTTAATATTCTGCGAGTATTGTTAATCAATCAATAGGAACATGTATGTCTGAATGTGGTGAACGCTATTTATTGGCCTTTTTAGGACCAAGGCAAGTTTATATCTCGAGCATTGCCACTTTTTGGCATAGTCGTAAAGAGTGGCACAAAGTAACTGCTTTTTGCATATTTGGTTGGATTCATTTGTCAATTCAATCTAACTTGTGTTCGCATAGTTTATCAGTTCCAATTGTTTTGTTTATGTCCTTATTGTTGTCTTGTACTGTGATTATGTCCTTATTGTTGTCTTGTACTGTGGGTTTATATCACTCTTATTGGACGTAATTGATATCAGTGAGTCCATGCTGCAAGGTATTGATTGGATCTTGGTAGAGGTGATTTGTTGTCACTTGAATAATAGTTAAAACTAATGAGCTCATCTTGGGTATCCTCCAAGATAGACTTAAAAGCTCCCCAGGGAGGGAAGGTGGGGGAGGGGAGAGGGGGGGGGGGGGGTTTGCTCCCCTAGTTCACCTCAACACGGGTGTAGATCAGCTGAGCTATAATCATTTCACAGTTCACCATCAGACTGCTCAGTGCATTGCTTTGTGCTTTCAACCCCAAGTTTACGTTTGCGCAGTAAGCTTGAGCACATTAATATCTTCTCAATAAAGTTAAAATCCTTCTTTGCTTTGTGACAGAAGCTTCAAGGGGCGCTAACGCGCTCCACCACACCCCATTTCTATGTTCATGTAACATGATACACAATGCCAATACAAATGTTCTCTCTGAAATAGCATTTTGTTTGTATGTGTATGGAAGTTTTACAATATCAACATTAGTAAGATTACAAAATCATTAAGGAGCTGAGACATGGTTCCTATACAGGGTCTCTCTCAGTACATCTAGTCTGTTTATTTCTTCTAGAGGAGTTGCCCGTTCATCTTGGACCCAAAAAGCTAGAAGATTTTCACGGTCAAGAAAGCCTTAAAAATCCTAGTTTTTTCTATTTTTATGGAGACTATATCAGCATATTATATTAATCATCTACCATGGTAGGGGTTTGAGTTACCTCTGTATGTTTCTGAAATGAAATTATATATTGATGTTTGCTTCAACTCGTATATACTATCATTTCATATCCTTATTGATTTATGAATATGATCATGTCTAATTGCATAGTTTGATCCTTATCAATGTCCTTGAAATAATGCCAGTTATAAAGAAGCGGAGGAAAGAAGCCTTCTTTTCAGAGTTAGGCAAGGCAGCTTCCCAATCTACTGGGACTGTTGCTAAGGTTATCTCTCGCCTCTGTCTCTGTCTCTCATTACTCAATTCGCCATTCTATTGGTAGGAACCATGGAACTTTTGAAGTTGAATTTGCTTTACTAAAGGAATTACAGTTTGACTTTGATCATCATGGACTAGTACCGAGCCCTAGAAAAGTGTATTTAAATTTAACAGCCGAAACATCAATAATGAAAAAACCCCTCTTTAGTGAGATTATGTGAGCAAATGCACGAACCAAAATATGGTAATGTTACGGGAGCCTGTACAGTTACGGGAGGGATGTTCAATATCAATTCTTATACTACCATTCAGGGAGTCGATTTTCACTTTCAAAATTTCTATGGTTTGTCACATACAGGTCGGTGCATCTAGTAGCACAGTGGATGGCGAAGGACCTGCATGGGCCCCTTTGCGTGATAATTACATGTTAACAAATTCGAAGTTGAAAGATTGGGATAAAATGCAGGTAGGTTTTCCTACCAATATCTCAGCCATTTTCAGTTTTGTTAAATCATGATGCACCCTTTCTGTTTCCTGTAGTATTTAGTGCATGTTTGGCTAAGCTTAAAAATTTCACTTACTGGTAAATAATTTTGTTTTCCTTGTATGAATGCTCTTCCTCTGCTTTTAGGACACAACTGCAGGAGATGACTTTAGGAGGCCAGCAGACTCTGGTTCGTCGTCAGAAGATGAATAGTCTTGAAAATTGGGATACTAACTGGTTTGGTTGGATCTGGAAATGAAACTTTTTGAGATAATTAAAAGCACATCTGATCTGTTTCCCCACGTCCTGCTGGGGAGAAAAACTTGGCTATTTTCTGTAATATTCAAACAGAAGAAAAAGTTGACCAGACAATGTTTTTATTTTTTTCCACCGTCACAAGATTAATTGGTTTAACTGACAGCAGGGGTTTGTTGCTGAAAAGCATTTTTGGTTTGATTTTTTTCTATTTAGTGCACCATCGTATTTGTCTTGTAGATAGTCAGCTAAATCATTCCTAGTCTTTGAAAGTTGTATTATTTTTATAGCCAACGAGATAAAAAGAAATGAATGTCTGTTGAGCGTGCTAATTTCTTGACGGGATGGCCTATTCCATTCCGATGCTCAAGTCAGATTGCTTTTAGATTGACCTTACGGTATGTATCGGGGTAGAGGAAAAGTGGCTTTAGCCTGGATTTTCAGTCACAAACAACTCCGAGTTGAACTGCTTTATTCCCTAACCTTGAATGCAAGTGCTATCATCATATTGCATGGTTTGGATTCTTGTGCACGGCCTTCTTTCAGCCTGGGCTTTGCTTTAGATTGTGATTGGGGACGATAATGTTACAGCAGTCATAGGTTGAGGATGTATTGGGGGCAGATTGTATCAACTGCCGAAACAAGAACTCAATAGAGAAATCAGTTCACGTCCAGCTTTATGCTATAGATGATTTCATACAGGGATACAGCCGTATGATCTGATTACTTAGTAGCTTTGTGTTAGGCTTACTGTTAGGCTTAGTGGATCAAATCACAAGCTTCACCAGCCTTGACGAAACGTGGTAAATACCAACATCACGAAAGAGTACATGTAAAATTCTGTTCGTTGTCATGTTTTATCTACGACTAATGTCACTTAAGTAACATAAGGGTCTTGCTTGGAGTACATAATTATACACATAGAGGATGACATAACACTCACATGGGGTGGGGCAACCATTTTGGTGGGGTCCACCACAT